CTCTTCTGCATTTTCTTCCCTTGAGATATGCGTAATTGACCTATCTTGAAATCGAGCAAGTAGGGCCTGAACCTTCATAATGTATTGTTGCATGTGCTCCTCTTTAGTTTCAAAGATCACATAGACTGGATTTACCACCCGCTGGGAGTCGCATTTGACTTCTATGACCTCGGAATCTAGTCCCCAAGCCAATTCAAGTCATGCAATCAAAGCTTTATACTCTGCTTTGTTGTTAGTCAAAGGGACTGTTCTTATGGACAACCTTAGGGTTTCTCTCTAAGGCGTGGTTAATACTATGCCAAGCCCGGACCCCTTTATATTAGAACCACCATCCATAAATAAGGTCCAAACTCTCGATATTCACTGTCAGGAATCCTAGACTGAAATTGTCCACAAAGTCGTCTAGCATTTGTGACTTAATCATAGTCCTAGATTTATACTCTATGTCGAATTCATTCATTTCGACAGCTCGTTTGGCAAATCTACCCAAGAGTTAGGGTTTGTGAAGGATATTCCGCAAGGGAAAGCTGGTCAGCACGTCTATCGGGTGACATTGGAGGTAAGGCCTCAGCTTTCGAGCAGCGACTGCAAGAGCAAAGGCCAGCTTTTCCAAATACAGGTAACAAGTATCCACTCCGTTAAAATTCTACTAACTTAATAAATGGAAAATTGTGTACCTTCATCCTCACAGACTAAAATGGTGCTTACCGCTACCTCCGAGACTGCTAGGTAGATTAACAATGTTTCCACTTCCTCTGGCTTGGATAGTAACGGAGGGCTTGACAAGTACCTTTTCAAATCTATCAAAGCCAGCTGGCATTCCAAGGTCCATTCGAAGGTGTTTTTTTTTAGCGGCGCAAAGAAATGGTGGCATTTCTTTGATGATCGGGAAATGAACCTGCTCAAAGCGGCCAATCTCTATGTGAGCCTTTGAAATTCTTTCACGCTTGATAGCTGGTCCGGATGTCTTTTATGTCATTAATCTTATCGGGGTTTACCTCAATCCCCCCTTTGTGATACCAGAAACCCTAGGAAATTGCTGAAGCTGACCCCGAACGCGCACTTCTTGGGGTTAAGCTTCATGTTATGCTTCCTTAGGATGTCAAAATTTTCTTGCAAATGCTTAAGGTGATCACCTTCATTCAAAGACTTAACAAGCATCCATCTATATAAACTTCCATGGTTTTTCTTATCTGTTTTTCAAACATCTTATTTAAGAGTCATTGATATGTGGTTCCGGCATTCTTTAGCACGAAGGGCATCACATTATAGCAATATGCGCTGAAATTCGTTATGAACGAATATTTTTCTTAATCTTCCAAGTTCATCTTAATTTGGTTGTAACTGGAATAAACATCAAGGAAACTCATTAATCTGTGCCTGACCGTTACATAAATCATTTGATCTATGTTTGGCAATGGGAATGATTCCTTTGGGAACGCCTTATTCAAGTGCTTATAATCTACGCACATGAAAAATTTATTGTTCTTCTTAGGCACGACTACTACGTTAGCTAGCCAGTCTGAATACTTTACCTCTTGGATCAAACCAATATCAAGTAGGGGAGTTACCTCTTCTTTGATGAATTTATTCCTGGACTTTGTAATAGGGCATTTCTTTTGTCTTACCAGAGGAATGCTGGGATCCAAGCTTAACTTGTATACGGCCACTTCCGTTGGGATTCATGTCACATCTACATGAGACCATGCAAAATAATCGGCATTATACTTAAGAAATTCAATAAATTTATAACTGATCTCGGGGTGCAACCCTGTTCCCAAGTGGAATTTCCTATCCAAGAACTTTTCAAACAGTGCAACTTATTCGAGGTCTTCCATTGTGGACTTCGTTGAGTCCGTCTCTTCTGATACCTGAAAATATCTTGGCACCTGATAAGATTCCAACACTTCTTCCCCCTCTTTATCTTCATTTGATTCAGGAGCAGGTGCTGGTTTGTGTAATTTCTATGTCGCATTCTCCTTCCCTTTGCTATAGGAGACCAAAATCGCATTCATCTCCCTTGCTACCAGTTGATAGCCTTTTATCTATTTGATTCCTTCGGGAGTTGGTATTTAAGCAACTGATGTTATGTTGATAGTACGGCCCTCATCTCGTACAACCACGGTCCTTCCCAGAATAATATTATAACCTATATTATCGTCCACAACCTAGAAAAGGGTTGTCTTCATCACCCCTTCGGCATTTATGGGCAGTAGGATCTCTCCTCAGGTCGTTACACTTGCGAGGTTGAATCCGGCGAAGAGTTTTATGGCCAGAATGATACTTCTAGTAATTTTGGCTTGCTCTAATACTCTCTATTTTATTATATTGGCGAACTTCCTAGATCCACCAAAACATGTTTGCTTTTATAATCTAATACATTTAAAGATATTACTAGTAAATCGTTGTGCAGTAGCAATAATCCATCTACATCTTCTTTCGTGAAAGTGATGTCGTCCTCAACAGCTTCCTAGAGCTTCTTATCATGGGTTACTATTACCTTCATATTTTTTGTTGTCGAAAAGTAACTTCGTTAATCTCGTTTCTCCCAAAAATCATGTTGATCGTCTGGTGCGGGGGATCTTCTCCTGTTTTTAAGGGGTCTGCATTGTCACTGTTATGACCGTAATAATTCTTGGCCCGGGCACTTATGAATTCCCTGAGATAGCCATGTTTTAGTAAGGTATATGAGGGCAGTCCCTAGTACGGTGGCCATTCGTCCCGTGGTATTCACACCACAAGTTAGGGTCCCTCTGGCAGGTATCGTACCTCATCGGCTTCGGAAACTGTGCTTCTTTAATGTTCCGCATAGCCAATACCAACTATACTACACTGACAATGAAGTTGTATTCTGATAGCCTAGATTGGAAGGATCTCGAGAACCTGACATTTCTTTGTCCTGCAACGATCTGTTATTCTGACTGCGATCAATTCTTTTGTCGATAACGAACCTGTCTATCGACCAGAAACCTCTGTCACGTCCTTCGGCCCCTTTGTAGGGAAAAAACCGACCCCTTGAAGACCGCCTATTTGTGTTAAAATTGTCTTTTGATTTTTCTTTATTCTTCCCGACCTTTTGCCGACGCTGGGAAGACAAACTGATCATCTTCAATCCTTATCTTGGACTCGTATCGATTGTGAACATCCGCCCAACTCGTCGCTTGTAGCTCAAGCAAGTTTTCCTTTAATTTTCAAGAAGCATCAGAACTTCTCAGACTCAGATCCTTGGTAAATGCTTCAACCACCGATTAATCCGGAATCGCGGGGAGCAATATTCTTTCCCTTTGGAACTGGGTGATGAATTCCCGTAGCAACTCGGACTCTCCTTGTGCGATTCTAAATATGCCGGACTTTCAGGCTTACACCTTTTTAACCCTAGCATGGTCCTTAATAAAAGAATCCGCGGGCATCTCTAAGGAATTTATGGACTTCTCGAGCAACAGCGAATACCACGTCAAGGCTCTCATCGTGAGAATCTCCCCGGACATCTTTAGTAAAATAGATTCAATCTCATGGGGAGTTAAATCTTTCCCCTTCACCACCGTTGTATAGGTGGTGATGCGCTCCTCAAGGTCCGAAGTACCATCATATTTCAGCACGCCGGGCATTTTAAACCGCTTCGAAATTTATTTTGGTGCCGCGCTTGGTTTGTATGGATACCTAGTATACTTTTTGAGTCTGGCACTTTCAGCACCGGTGGAGCACCCAGGATTTGGTCCATGCAGGCGTTCACTTCCCTCATAAACCATAAGAGTTCGCTTTTGAAGGGATCACTCTCGATGTTTTGACTGGACCCTCTCCCCCGACACTATCGAAGCCGATCTCGCCCTTCGGGGTCTTGTTGTCGAACCTCTGCATTAATTGATTTGCAGGAGCACTGGGAGGAACTGGACCACATCCATTCGCGTTATTGGATGCACTCGACAATGCCTATTTTAGTTGTGTCATGACATTATCCTGTCGTGTGAGATGGCCTAGAATGACCTTTTGTTTCTCTTGCAGGACCCTTACCGCTTCAACAACATGCTCCTCTTCAGTATCATCAGCGGTTGCCTCCCAAAAATGATTCGGGTACCGTCTGTCGTGGATCGACGTGGCATAACTCCACTCATTGCGGGTATCGTTGATTGAATCCTTACGCTGAGGCTGGTCTCCTTCGGCCTCAAGATTGTGTGTGTTGGTAACACCATTATTTTCCATTTTTTGTGATTTTGCTAAGAACAAATAATCAAAACACGTTAGTAAAAGAGGCAAGGATCAACTTAATTACACGTATGTCTAGGCCCCATGGTGGACGCAAAACTCTTTACCCATAAAATGATATAGTTGAATTTATACGTGGTTTCTAGACAAGTGAATTAATTCGATCTTGAAATAGTAAAAAAAATTGAAGAAATATGCAATATTTAGCCTTGAGATGAATATGAAATAGCAGAAATATTAGTTCCGGGAGCAATGTTTCCGGGCATAACAGCAACGAAATCAAAAAGTAAGAAGGTAAAGTTGTATAAAGCTTTGAATAGATTATAGCATAATTTTGCTAGAAAATTCATCTCTTTACAATGATAGCAGAGCTCACTTTTCTGCACCTAGGGAACAAGGTCTTAGGATCATGCCCCTCTTTAATGTCAATTATGAGGGTCATTAAGAATGTGTAACGGCGGGCATGAATGATAAATTCTTTGTAACATGCAGCGTATTAAATGCTGCAGAATATTCTCCATTAAACGCTACCGTGTGGCTGGCATTTTTTGCATCTTTATGAACATCTTTCTTTCCGATCACAAATGGAACAGTTGTCTTCGGTTTTAGCTATCCTCTACCTCCGGTTCCACGTGCCACTCTCTTGCACAATTACTTAGCATAGCATAATTTACCCTATACATTAATATAAATATTTACTTATTGTACAAGCCATCGCTTCATATACATATCCTTGCTAATTCAGGTCAAATAGGCAATTCATACAACTTTTATTTGAAACTTCGAAATATTCCATACTAAAAGCCTTTTGCAAACCTTAGGAACAAGAAGCAGAAGTAAATCGCCAGAAGTCCAACACCAAGAGAGATATCCGGTTGCATGTTTCTCTTAGGCAAAATGACAAGAGCCCAGAGCAAACCTACCATAAGAAATCCCAAAGTTTCACAGAGGAAAGGATCTTTGGGAAGCACATAAGAAGCTGGATACTCCCACCATGATGCAAACACAAGGGAGACCCCCAAACCAATCAAAGTATTGAATAATGGGCCGGCGTAACAAGCCGAAATCGCCATTTGTTGCCCATCTTTTCCACCATTCAGTGCCATGGCAACGTTAGATATCAAATCCCCAGTTGAGTTACCCCACGCTAGGACAGTGAGACCTAAAATTGAAGGGTTTATACCTATTATATATCCAAATGAGACGAGCAATGAAACCAATTCCTGTGCAAGAACATATGTCCATGTAATACTCATGAGAAACCCTCCAAGGAGCCAAATCAACAAGCATTCTTTTGGAGGGCTAGATTCTTTTGTAGACAAAAATGCAAGATTCCCTAGAATAAGCCCTACTAGAACTGATGTCATGCCAATGGCTAAGCTTGTCGGAGAATCCATGCCTTCACTTGAAACAGCTGCTGCCAGAATTGGTGCCAATGTTGCTGAAATTACAGCCATTGGCTTGGACCACTTGTCCTCACTAACGACAGGGATGGTCAGCCTTCTTGGCAAGTAAAGGGGAAAATCCAAAACACCAAGAAAACAATTTATGAACTTGCAGAAAGATGATGAGGTACCAAAGATAGAGGAATTTATTTCTTCTGTGTGTTTCTCATTAGGACATAATTCAGAAGACTTTTCCTCATCAACACACCCTAACAATGCAACCCCAATCTCGTTATCCAATTCATCTTCTTTGTCCGTTGAATTCACATTTTCTGCTGCTTCATCCTCACTAAAGAAATGCATGGCGCAGACCACACAAATGTAAATGACATAAATAGATGAGAAACAAATCGCTATCCACAAATTAACCCTCCCGAAAACAATGATCCCAAGGAGACATGAGAGTGAAAAAATGATGAAAAGTACATCTCTAATGAAACTTGGCTTATCAATGGTTAGCCTATGGTTTGGCGATACGACTATACTTATGACTCCCACAACGACACAAGACACGAAAAATGCACCACCTAAAACACTGTTAAGCCCAACGCCGCCACTGCTGGATCGAGTGAAGGAGATGATACTAGAGATGACATCATTAGCACCATTTCCTAGAGGGAGAAGAGTGGTTCCAGCTATGGTAGGGGAAAGATTCATGACTTTGGATAAGCCTTCAGCAGAAGGGCAGAAATACTCAGCTGCTGTATTACCCAACAAATAAAACAACAAAACAAGCCATAAAAGCAGGAGAGTGTGCCCTAGTACTGGAGACCAACCTAGGATGCAGTAGAAGAACTCGAGATAATTCACATACCCTTTTCCAGAGCACGAAGTGCTTGATTTTATGTAGGCACATTTAGATTGTGAATCAATTAGTTTGTATAAGTCAGAGCAGTCATTAATTTTAGTTTTCGATAAATGGACGTGTGTTTGGGATTGGCTAAACCCATTGAAAATGAGAGTGTAAAGCAAGAGTATAAAGAGGAAAGAGGTGTTGAAAAATATAGAAAGAGCTGACCTGGGCTTGAAATAGAAAGGAAAAAAATCCATTAGAAAGTATGGAAGATAAGAAGAGCAGATCTGTAAGGAATAAAATGGCCTCACCTTTATATGTTTAACTTTTAGCTAAACTAAATTAATTATGTTAAGTTTGGCAAATTTAGTGTCCAAATGTGAACTTCATATATTCGCAACATGAAGCACACCGCCAGTATATGTGCGTGACATGATTTTTTATTTTTTTTCTACATTTAATTACTGTAATTCATTATAAGTTAGTTTATTGTAAGAAGTGATCTAAAAACTTGTCTTTGTATTTGTTTTTTTCTATTTAGTCCTTTGAGAACTTGAACTTTTATATAGACACAGTACATGACATCACTAGTATATATATTTTATACTTTCGTTCTTAGGACTGATATCAAAAGACGTAAGTTGGTCTTATTTCTTGTCTTTTTAATTTCATTGAAAAAGATGTAAGTATATGTATTTAATTACGAAACCCACGAATCACGTAAAGTCTACTACAATTTTATAAAATTACATTATTTTTCTCAAGACGATGATATGTGGTCCTGATCACACTCCATTCTGCACCGCTATCACATAACTCTCCCCCATAAGAGGTTTACTTACCACTAAAACTCAGAATCTTGTTTGCTTATATTTGGTTTCAAATAGCATTTTTGTTACAATAATCCTTATTATGATTACAACCTATTTTTCTACAATGACTATCTTGTTTTTTTTTTCTCACTATGACACTAGATTAGCACTTTATGCGAATAAAGCGTTTACAAGCTAACAAACCGATGAACTGCTCCAACATTGGGAGTTCTTATTGCTACAGTTTGGCGTCCAAAATTTCTCATGAACTTCTGTTTCTGTTCTATTGCTTTTTTCAACTCTGATTTGTTGATTATTGAGATTTTGATGGTTAACAAAATTTGTTTAGATGCAATGTTCAAAGAACTAGGTCCTCAACATAGCTGTTTAACTGTTCTAAGAACCAGCTCCTCAGGGTAAAGGACCGGCTCCTCTGGTTGATGATTGTATGTCTGTGCAAGACAATAACCTTATCTCAAAGTTATCCAGGTCCGAGTTTGATGGAAGAAGGCTGCTACATGTGATAAGAGTTGTTTCCCACGAAGATACGAATAAATCAGTAAGAGACAAGGATCCCAAAACTTGTGGAGTCCTTGGAACAGTAGGGGTCCTATCAAACGAGAAGCTGACTATGCATAGGACTCCAAGAAGATCCTGAAGTACAGACGTTTAAATACTATCTATTTTGAACTTCTGAGATTATCCTTTTACGTATCAACTGAAGAACTACATTTTGCTCACTCTAGTCGGGTATCAGTGTTGTGTTCTTCTTGAGTCCGTCTAGTAAATGTATTTTAGAAAATTGAGTTGTAATCAAAGTGTCACAAACAATTAGTGAGTTGGAGTGAGTGTTTCTTTTACAAGTTAGAGTAACTTGTAAATCAAATAATCGTAGTAGGAGTACTAGAGAGTATTAAATTACTGTCTTGCCGAGAAATATTATCTATAAAGTGTCCTCTTGCATCTCTGCCCATGATATATGGAGGATCTTGGAAGCTGACTTTGGAGAAGAAAATATCGAAGTGGCATTGATGGCAATTAAAGAAACCCAAACAGAAGAAGTGATAGTAATAATAGCCATGAGCGATTTAGAAACTGAATATGAAACAAACCAGTTTAAGTATCTTTAACTTAAAAGAAAATATTCATGCTATGTCTAAAAAATAACTGATGGCTATAATTGTGACCATGATGAGTGAAATGGATAAAATGAGTTCTGGAAATGATCAGTTAATAAGCAATCGTTCATGGGTAAAACTTGATCTCAAAGTGCTTGAATATGACAAATCTAATCTAGAGGGATATGTCAAAGACCTTAAGAACCAAGTTCTTTAGCTCACTTCTAAGAATGAGAAGTCTCCTGATATACATGGTAAGGGAAAAATGAGTGATCTGCAGGATAAGTTTGAAAAAGAATTAAAAGGGGTTAAAGATAATCTTTATGATGCTGAATGTAGGAATGAAGTCTTGCAAGAAAATCTAAAAAAGTTTAATTATGAACTATCTAGACTAAGCAAATGACATAGATCTTCAGATGCCTTTAATTAGCTGAATGAAAACTACAGCTCAAACAAATCATGAATTGGCTACAGAAAACTTGTTCCCATTTTTTATCCAAAGTATGTAGAAATTTCTGATAATAAAATATGCACTCGTTGGGGAAACGTAGGAAACTTTAGAGATACTTGTCCTGCCTTAATTTATGCTCAGTTTAGAAACACCTTTGGTATTGCTAAAAATCTAAAGAAGGAGGGGGAGCCAAAAGCCAAGCCTTTTGTCCATACTAAGTAGATTAAGATTAATAAGAAAGTGGCTTCTATTTCTCTTCCCTTCTGGTTAAGAAGTGATATGATTCATCCTTTTACAAATAAAGAGGGACTCAAGCTTGTCTGAGTTCCCAATACTAACTTGTAATTTCTGGTGCATGCTAAAGTGAGAGGGAACAATCAAGATTGGTATCTAGATAGCTCAAGATATATGACTGGATAAAAGAAAAACTTTCTCTCACTGACAGCCTTCCAAGAAGGGAGTGTGTCATTTGGAAGTGGGAAAAAGGGCCAGAGAACAGATATTGGCAAGGTTGGTAAGTCACTCTCTCATTCTATAGAAGATGTTTATTATATGGTATGTCTTAAACACAATCTTCTTAGCATTTCTCAAATGTGTGACAAAGGAAATGAAGTAAAATTCAATTCCAAAATTTGCATTGCCACTAAGCTTGATACTGATGAAGTTGAATGGAAAGGTAATAGACATAATAATGTTTACAATATATTTATTATCTCTTTCCCAAAATGAGCACATATGCTTAAGTGTAGTGGAAGATTGTCCACTGCTATAGCATAGAAGACTGGGTCATGCCAGCTTTTCTCAACTCAACAAGTTTCCAGCAAAGGACTCGGTCCTTGATCTACCAAAAGTTGAGTTCTCCTCAGACAAGGTTTGTGATGCATGTGTTAAAGGAAAACATGTAAGGTCACCTTTTAAATTTTAAAAGGTTATCAGCACCTTCAAACCTATGGAACTCCTTCACATGGATCTTTATGGACCCATGAGAATGAGGAGTAAAGGAGGTAAGAGGTTTGTTTTGTCATTGTAGATGATTTCTTCAGGTATATATGGACTCTGTTTTTGGGATCTAAAGATGAAACTTTTGATGTTTTCTACGTATTTGTCAAAACAATTCAACAGATACTAGGTTTTAATATATTAAGTATAAGAACAGACCATGGAACTGAATTTGAAAATTCCAAATTCCTTGAGTTCTATAACTCACATGGTATTGATAATAATTTCTCTGCACCTAGAACTCTACAACAAAATGGGTTTGTAGAAAGAAAGAATAAATCATTAGAAGACATAGGACCATCCTGATTGCTAGTAGGCTGTCTAAGAGTTTCTAGATTGAGGCAGTTAATGATGCCTGTTACTTGATGAACAGATGCATGGTTAGACTTATTCTTGAGAAAACTCCCTATGAGTTACTTCGAGGGAGAAATCCCAACATCATTCACCCTAGATCACTTGGGTGTAAATGTTTTGTGTATAATAATGGCAAAGAAGCTCTAGGTAAGTTCGATAACAGAAGTGATGAGGGAACTTTCTTGGTTACTTTTTACATAGTAAGGCCTATAAAGTTTTTAATAAAATAACTATGTGTGCAGAAGAAAATATTCATGTTATTTTCGTATGAATCTAACAATTTGGCTGAAAAAGGTTTGTAGGATAAAAACTATGACATAGGACTCACTGGTGATTGAGCTCATGACGAATCTGAACCTCAATCTGAATATGGATCAGGAAACTACAAAGAAATTGACAATGATCACAAGGAATAAGAGGAAGAAAGAACTACTCGGACTGCTAACCAGAGTGATGAAGCTATACCTACTGAACATGTTCCTTTGGGTCACTCCTTGGGTGAACTTCTCTGGGTATGCATATCAAATCATGGAAACATTAAAGTTCACATCCTCTTGAGAACATCATCTATGATCTAAATGCAGGAGTGTGGACCGGGTCATCTTTGAGAAATCTATGTGCACTCACAGCATTTCTATAATAGGTTGAACTGAAGACCGTCAAAGAAGTTCTAAAGGATCTAGATTGGATTATAGCCATGCAAGAGGAGCTAAATTAGTTTGAATGAAGTAAGGTCTGGCACTTAGTACAAAACCCAAGAACATAACTGCCATAGGTACCAGATGGGTGTTCAGAAACAAGCTGGATGAATAAGGAAATATCATAAGGAACAAGGCCAAACTGGTGGTTCAGGGATACAATCAAGAGGATGACATTGACTATGATGAGACATTTTCACTTGTAGCTAGAATGGAAGCTATAAGAATTCTAATGGCCTTTGCTGCACATATGGAGTTCACCTTGTATTAGATGGATGTAAAGAGTGCATTCTTGAATGGTTATCTGAAAGAGGAAGTGTTTGTCACATACCTCTTAGGTTTAAAAGTGAAGAATTTCCTAACTATGTGTTCAGTGTGGGATTGTGTGCAAGATTTCAGGCAAATCCCAATGAGTCTCACTTGAAGGTTGCCAAGAGGGTACTAAGATATCTCAAGGGGACTCCTGACCTATGCCTTTGGTATCCCATAGGGTATAAATTTGATCTAGTTGGTTAATGTGATTCTGACTAAAGGTTTTCACGTTGCCAAGAAAAATATTTCAGGAACCGCTCATTTTCTATGTTCTTGTCTGGTGTCTTGGGGAACAAAGAAGAAAAAGTCATTGGCCTTATCCACAACCGAGATTGAATATGTGGCAGCAACATCCTACTATGCTTAGTTTCTATGGATAAGACAACAACTCATTGTTGATTGTGTTCTCATTTTCTGTAACAACACTAGTGCTATAAACACTGCTAAAAATTCATGTCAGCACAAGAGAAGCAAGAACATTGACATTAGGCACCATTTTCTCAGAGACAATGTTAAAAAGAGGGATATCTCAATTAATATTTATAAAATTGAAGATCAAATTGCAGATATTTTTACTAAAGCTCTGAGTAGGGATCACTTTAAAAGTAATAGACTAGAACTAGGTCTAATTAATACTTCTAACTAGTTGAACCCTAATGATTGTCTAGAAAAGGTATAATTAGATGTAGATAGTCAAGTACAATGTGTTTGATTCATACTCGTGCTTGTACTAAGCACACACACCTGCCTAGAAAAATCTGGCTGATAACTATGTTGTGTGATAGTAATGTGTAGTGCTCGAACTTTATTGCAAAAACAAGTAAGGAGTTGGTTCTTCCATTCAGTTACGTGCCATCTTGTCTTAATTCACTGGGACTTAATAACCTAAATTATTGCTATACTCAGACTTCTAATCATGTTAGCATCACTTCTAGTTGTCATCAAGTCAAAGAGTAAGGGGGAATCCTAAAGCAATTAGAGTTTAATTACTCCTAAAATCTTAATAGTCAAAGTAACCGTTATAAGAGTCTCGTTAGAGCTCAAATTTGATCATCCTCTCTCTTCTAGTCAAATCAGGAGTAACATCTTTAAAAGCCCCTTATGACCAGCTTCTCAAACCTTACTGTTTCTCTCAAACCCTAAGCAAGAATTAAGAACTAATTCTCTCTTCTACCTTTATTGATTTTCTTCACTGATCACCATGCCTAAATCATGCCAAACCCCCTTCTAAATCCAAATCATCATCCAAGACTGAAGCCAAATCAAAGAACAAGAAGCCCAAATCAAAGAAAAGTGTCAAACCATCAAGTGAACCCACACCAAAACCTGATCTTTCTCCATCGATATCCTCCATTGTACCTATACCATCATCTAATGTTCTTGTTGCTATTACCATCCCCACCTCCACTACACCTTCACTTCCAAAACCAACCACTCATGCATCTATGCTTACTACGAAAAATACCTCTAAGTCAACCTAGATCAATGCTACTCCAAGAAAATTTGTCAAGAATGTCAAGGTAGTGCCTGATGCTACTATTAAGGTAGACATAGTGGTCAAGGAAGCTATGGTTCTAGGGGAATTAGTGTCAGTCATTACAAGCCAAAAACAACCCTCTCTTTCAAAATTAGATGTTCGGTTATCTTTGATAGATGTCGCACCCAGACACTCTTCTACCCACAAGTGATTAATCAGGTGGAGGAACTCACTGTAGAAAAGAGTGCAGGAAATCTGGAGAAAGAGGTAAATACCACTACTGTGGTGCCTGTGGTTGAGGGGGGCTAACAATAAGTGCCAAAGGAGACATTCGATGGTCTTTCATTCAGTTGGACGGAGGATTAGGATGACAATGGGGGTTAAAAGAAAGGAGGAGTTATGTGAAGTCATGAGGAACATACTTCTCATGACATAGCTAATGAAGATGAAGAGTGAGAATGAGGGAGATTCTAGTGGAGAGAAGGAGAGTGAGATAGAAGATAGGAAAGGTGAACAAGTGGATGATTCTGCAGAAGAAGAAAAGACTAGTGAATAAGAGGATAACTCTAAGAGTGACGGTAAGGATCAAGAAAAGGAAAGTGGGAGTGAAGGAGTGGATGAAGAAAGTGAGGAAGAGAATAAGAATATGAGTGAGGAATCTGAAGGCTTTATGGCCTTTGGGAACAATGTCATAGCCCCTTCAGAAGGAGCAAGTGGAGAGAAAAGGACTGAAGAACCTGGGTCCTTATTAACTCCTTTCACTGGAGATGAGGAGGTCAGCAGTGATAAAGATGACTTTCCCTCCTCTGAGGTAGGGAATAAACTAGGAAGACTCCTATGAAAGAAACAAAGTCTGCAGTCCTAACAAGGAAAAAAGTGGCTCCTCCAGCTAGGACTCCTCTTATAAGGAGTAAAAGAAAGGGTTGGAGCATAGATCATTAAGGAGTCTAGAGGTGCCAAGACGCCAAATAAGCAAGATTCAATTGTGCAACCTGTGATTGAGTCGGATGGAGAAGATGAGTCTAAGTCTGCTTTGCCAGAAAAGTCCTCTAAACAAAATAGATAGGTGGTCAAAGCTATAAAAACTGCTACCCCATCTACAAAGGCCAGTAGAGCAAAGAAGAGAAAGAATATGCCAACTGTGGTTGATAGACTTATAAAGTTCAAAAATAGAAAAGTGCTAAATGAGAAAATTCTTGCAAACACTGATGAATAAAGGATGGCTCAACTGGTTGAAAACTTGAGCTACAGTGATGGAAGCACATGTTTGTCAAAGCTTTTCCCCTTGTATGTGTTCCTATTGCGGTGGAGTTCTATGCAAACTTCTAATTTGATGGAAAAGTAGTCAAAGGTAAGGTAAGGGGGTTTGAAATGGATTTTGATATAGAGGAGCTGGAGATGCTTCTGAATATTTCCTCTTTAGGATTTGACAATTATCTGAAGAAAAGGTGGTCATCCATAGACAATGATGTTGACACTGGAATTGTGGTCATAAGGAAGTTCTCCCAAAATTTTGAACTGAATGCTCTCTGGAAGGTATACAAGACTGATATAACCCCTTCTACAAGCTGCAATTTGACTTTGTCAGTTCCTGCATTCTGCAAAGGTTTGAGAGAAGGCATGAAGCTACCCTATTAGGCATGGTTGTAATGGAACTGCTTGACACTGGTAAACCTATAAATCTCCCTAGCTTGATGATTTAGCATATGTCAAGGGCTACAAACACTTCCAAGCCTAAGCATGTTATACTTTATGGGTTCATGTTGACTGAGCTATTTGACAAGCTCAATATTATCTTGCTTGATCTTAAGTATCACAGTGATGTCTTAGATTTTGTTACCCTCAAGCAGTGTGGCTATGAAGAGATTAAGGTTAGGGGATCAACAAGATCTGCTATTCTACTTGGAAGTAGTAGGGGCAGCAAAGCTTAGTAAGAGGTTGGAGTTGGTTGTTGAAGAGAATACCATGATTCGTGAGGACAATGATGAGCTGAGAAAAGAAAATAAGCATCTTAGGGAAAAGCTTAGAAGATATTGGGAAGTTCATGCCCAACAGATTTCCACTCTTGTGAAAGCATTGACCCTCTCTACCTCTCTCCCATGAACATGTTTCTTCCTAGTGTCCTTAGTTTCCTTTGCTATCCAGTGATGCTTTACTTTTTTCTTTCTGTTTTAGTCAGAGTAGCTTGCATTATGTTTAGTTTATTTTTTCTAATGGTTTAAGACAAGGCCTTGGGCTTCTTTTGGCACTACTAAATGACTTCTTTTTTACCGTTTTAATGTTTCATACAACATTGGATCATCAACCTAGTCTGTTTGCCATACTAATTCTTGAGGTTCTGCTAGAGCCTGTATGGCCTAGAATCTTACATTAACTAAGCTTTATATGTCTAATATCTTTTTGTTGTTTCGATGATGCCAAAATGGGGAAGATAAGGTTGGAGTTGTGAATATGATGTGATTACCAGGTTCTAGTGTGTACAACGTTTATCATCATCAAAAAGGGGAAATTTGTTAAGTATTGAGATTTTGATGATTAAAAAAGTTTGTTTAGATGCAATGTTCGAAGAATCAGGTCCTCAACGTAGCTGCTTAACTGTTCTAAGAACCAGCTCCTCAAGGTAAAGGACCAACTCCTTGATAGGTTTTATGTTTAAGTTTCAATAATGACAATATTATCTTATGTTATATTTTCAGTACAAACAAAAAGGAAAGAAGATGATTAGCAAGATTGCTACTGGTTTCAAAATAAAGTAAGAAGAAGAATTAGTTACTGCATTAATGATCAATTAAGAAACAGATTGACACGTCCTCAATCAAGAAAAGAATGAAGATTTAGCTAGAGCATTAATGATCAATCAAGAAGCAGATTGACGCAATCAAGGGAACTCAGATTACTAATCATGGTCACTCCAGTTTCGAAGAACACGCTTAAGAATTAATCTCTCCTTAAATTCAGCTATGACAAAGAAGGTCACATTCGAATTTAGGCCAGTCAAAGAGCAATATTCAAAGAGGCACCTCTTGGGTCAAATCCCCTAATTAAAGATCTTGTGCCTCCAGTTTCAAAAAGGACTCTATGGCTCTTTTCTCTTGTATAAGAAGGATGCTCTCTTAAGAAGAAGATCACACAAAAAAGTGTATTCCAAATCTGTCTACTTCTTAGTTCAAACACTGTAATTCAAAGTTATTAGTGTCTTAAAAGATAGAGAGATCTAGAGTATAAAAGAAAGTTGTGTCAATTGATTAGAACTCAATTGTTGATTCTATACGTTGGTGGTAAACACAAAAACCATCAATCTTGTAACTTTATTCAAAGATCTTAAGGGAACCCTTGTGACCCAAGGGAACTGGATGTAAGTACCACAACGATACCGAACTAGTATAAATTGTGTGTGTCATACTATGGCTCTTTACTTCTTTTACTCTTTCTGTCTCGTGGTTAGTCAACTAATACCTATATTAGTCGACTAAATTTTAACTAGGCAACAATTCACCCCCCTCCCCCCACCCGTCTTGTACTTTTAATTGGTATAAGAACAAGTCTCACAATCTGTGATTTACTGCTAGTGAGAAAAAGATCAATAGGATCCAACACTATTCCCTGTGCTCTCTTTCAAGAAGGAACCTCTCGGGTTCGACCTCCTTACTTCAATGGTCAGCATTTTCTCATGGAAAAGTTTGCATGGAAAAATATACCATGTCATACAACATCAACGTATGGCATGTGATAAAAAAGGGAAATCTTCCAATTCCTCCCACAAAGGATGCAAATGGTAAAATCGTCACATCAACGGATCCTCTGGATTTGGACGATTACATTGATGAACAAGTTGTTGTTATCACTGTAAATGCAAAAGCAAAAAATCTATTGTACAATGCTATCAGTGGAGAAGAATATGAAAAAATATTCAGTTGTGAGACTGCAAAAGAAATGTGAGATAAACTGGAAGTCACTTATGAAGAAACCAACAAAGTGAAAGAGACTAGAATAAATCTCTTGGTTAGGGAATATGAATTATTCAAATGAAGGATGGAGAATCTATTGAAGAAATGTTTTCTAGATTCAGCAAAATCCTTGGAGACCTCAAATCATTTGGAAGACCTATTAAAAGTGGTGAACAGTTAGAAAGATCCTCAGAAGTCTACCTACAATCTCGCAACCAAACGTTATCGCTTTAGAATGTCAAGACCTGGACAAAATCTCCTATGATAAACTCGAAGGTGACTTGATTACTTTTGAGAAAACTCTTTTTGATGGACAAATTGAAGAGAAAAAGAAAAATGTTGCTTTAAAAGCAACTATGGCTGAACCTGAAAATGAAGATTAAGTAGAAGGAGGAGAACAAGATGAAAACATTGCAATGCTCTCGCAAGTTGTGACCAACATGATGAGAAGAAACAAAACTACAAAAGAGGTAAGTTTAATTTCAGAAAAGGAAGGGCGGGCAATGAAACAGATAAAAATGATGGAAGATGTTACAAATGTGGAAAGTTCGGACATGTTCAAGCTGACTGTCTTGAATTAAAAAGGAAGCTTAGCAGAAACGTGCAAAAGAAGAAGGTTTTTGGAGCATGGAGTGATGAGGACGAATCTAATAATGAGGAAATAGTAAACATGTGTTTTATAGCTCTTAGCGACAATGAAGAATCAGATAAACTTGGACTAATGGGAGACAACAACGATGAAGAAGATGATTAAAGAAGACCCTGTTCACCGTTGGATGAAAGAACTAGTGAGGTACGTACTCCTTTATGTCCATCTTATTATGAACTTCAAGAATTTATTGATATTTCTATTGCAGACATTGAAAAAGTAGTAAATGAACTCAGAAAAGTCAAGAGAGAAAGAGAAAAAGAAAAGACGGATTGGGCCCTGAAACTAGAAGTACACAAAATTAAACGTGATATAGTTCTAGAAGAAGTAAACGAACTTAGGCATCAATTGAATGGTCTACAAAAATCATCAAGTTCTAGTTCAGTTCAGAACGTTCCTGTTAGAAATAAAATAGCATGCTCCTTTTGTGGTAAACATGGTCATAGTACTAACAATTACAAGAACAAAATTAGAGCTGAGAATAATTCTAGAAACTTCAACAGCTTGTCTTGCACCTACTATGGTAAAGGAGGTCACGCCTCAAATCATTGCAAGTTCAAAAACAACAGGAGGTGGATTTGGAGACCAAAATCTTCAAATTAAACTAAATCTCAAAAATCAAACCATTTAGGACCCAAGCAGGCTTGGGTACCTAAAATAAGTAATCTTGTTTTGCAGGAACATCGCAAGAAGAATCGAAAAGGAAAATTGTATCTCGACAGTGCGTGTTCCAGACATATGACGGGTGACAAATAATTGTTCAAATCAGTCACCGAGCTAGATGGAGGAACAGTTACTTTTGGTGACAAATCCAAAGGAAATGCTATTGGTGTTGGAAAGGTTCCTTTAAGCTCTGCATATGATGTGGATGAAGTTTACTTAGTGGATGAACTCAGGTACAACTTTCTCAGCATCAGTCAACTATGTGACAATGATTATGAGGTTCGTTTTAAGAAACATGGTTGGTTCATAGAAGACGAATCAGGTAATATCATTTTCTCTGGTAATAGGGACAGAAATGTCTATACTATCAAAAACCTAGAAAACTTTGGGGATCAAATTTGTCTTTCTTCTATAATTGAAGATCCCTGGGTTTGGCATAGGAAACTTAGGCATGCACACCATTCAAAAACTTTCAAAACATGACCTTGTCATTGGTCTTCCAAAACTGGATTTTTCAAAAGATCATATCTGTGATGCATGTCAATTCAGAAAGCAAACTCAATCCTCTTTCAAAGTTTAAAATATTGTTTCAACCTCTAAACCTTTTCCACTGCTGCATATGGATTTATTTGGCCCCACTACAACTGCTAGTATTGGAGGTAAGAAATATGCTTTTGTTATTGTAGATGATTTCTATAGATTTACATGGGTCATATTTCTTAGTCATAAAGATGATCCCTTAAAGAATTTTAAAGTCTTTTGTAAGAAGGTTCAACGTGAGAAGGGTTACTACATCTCTTCAATCAGGAGTGATCATGGAGAAGAGTTTGAAGGCAGGGCATTTGAAAATTTCTGCAATGATCAAGGAATCTCCCACAATTTCTCTTCACATAGATCTCCTCAGTAGAATGGTATAGTAGAGCGGAAAAACAGAACCTTGCAGGATATGGCAAGAACGATGATAGTGGAAAACTCTTTACCTCATCATTTCTGGGCAGAACCTGTAAGTACAGTGTGTCATATCTTTAATAGATGTCTCATTCATCCTATTCTCAAAAAGACTCCCTATAAACTATAGAATGGTAAGAAACTAAACATCAGCTACCTCCACCCTTTTGGATGCAAATGCTTTGTTCATAACAATGGTAAGAATAATCTGGGTAAGTTTGGTCCAAAGAGTGATGAAGGTATATTTCTTGTTTACTCTCTCTTAAGTAGAGCTTATAGAGTTTACAATAAGAGAACCTTATGCATTGAAGAATCTATTCATGTTATTTTTATTGATGCTAACCCTCGCCCAAAGAATGAACATGTTCCTTGCTAGCGCTTGGATTCTCGAACTCTTAGAGTGGATTTCAGGAATTTGTTCACATCCGATTCGATAGCATCTGTCCTCTTTCTACCCTTTGCAATCTTCAAGACTAAGAGAACTTACTTACTTACTAATTGAAAAACAAATACAAATTTCGTGTGCTCCAAAATATGTTATTGTAGGAAAAGATCATCAAAGTGAGTCAGCAAATCAATAGACTCAACCAGCTGAAGCTCCTTCAAAAGATCATGACTTATCTCAACCATATCAGTCGACTAACATGGAAAATGTCTCTTCAGTGAATACTCCAAATGAATGGAGGAACGAACCAGAATATCCTCACAAATTGATTATTAGAAATCCACAGGAAGGAATAACTACAAGGAGATCACAAAAGAACAAGTCTCATGTATCTCTCATTTCTCAAATTGAGCCCAAGAAGATTGATGAAGCTCCAAAGGATTCTCATTGAGAATTAGATCAGTTTGAGAAAAACAAAGGCTGGGAATTAGTTCAAAAACCTCAAAGCTCTTCTATTGTTAGGACTAAATGGGTTTTCAAAAACAAATTGGATGAATCAGGCCAAGTCGTTCGAAATAAAACAAGACTGATGGCTCAAGGTTACTCTCAACAAGAAGGAATCGACTATGATGAAACCTTTGCACATGTGGCAAGACTTGAATCCATCAGAATTTTACTTGCCTTTGCCACTCACAAAGGATTCAAACTGTATCATATGGATCTCAAAAGTGCGTTCCTAAATGGTTATATATCTGAAGAAGTATACGTGAAGCAACCTCTTGGGTTTGCAAATGCCACTCTTCCAAACCATGTATACAAGCTAACTAAAGCCTTGTACGATCTCAAACAAGCTCCGCGAGCATGGTATGAATGGTTAAGTTCTTTTCTTTTGAATCAAGGTTTCAAACGAGGTAATATAGATACAACTCTTTTTATTAAGCAATCAAATTTCGGTAATCTCATTACTTAAATTTACATTGATGATATTACCTTTGGTAGCCTTAACACTACTCTTTGTGAAGAATTTGCTTTTTTCATGCAAGGTGAATTTGAGATGAGCATGATGGGAGAACTAACCTTCTTCTTTGGACTTCAAATCAAGCAGTCTCCCAAAGGAATTTTTATCAGCCAAACTAAGTACAACAAGGAGCTTATCAAAATGTTTGGAATGGAAAATGCTAAGTCTATTGGCACTCCTCTGAGTCTAACTATTGTGCTAGATGATGACAACAATGGAAAAATGGTTGATGAAATCATGTATAGAGGAATGATTGGATCTCTACTTTATTTAACTGCTAGTCCACCAGATATTATGTTTAGTGTATGTATGCTAGATTTCAGTCAGCTCCTAAGGAATCACATTTGACTGCTATTAAACGCATTATTAGATATTTAATTGGTACTGCTAAATTCGGCCTATGGTATGATCATTCTAACAATTTTTCCTTAAGAGGCTTTTTAGATGCTGATTTTATAGGAGACAAAACTGATAGGAAAAGTACCAGTGGGGCATGTCAATTACTGGAAAATGCCTTAGTATCTTGGCATAGCAAGAAACAAAATTGTGTTGCTCTTTCAACAACTGAAGTAGAATACCTAGCTATTGGAAGTTATTGTACACAAGTTTTATGGATCATGCATCAACTCCTTGACTATGATTTATGTCTTACTACTACTCCTATTTTGTTGCGACAACACCAGTGCTATCTGTCTATCTAAAAATTTTGTGCATCATTCTAGAGCAAAGCATATAGGAATTAAACATCATTTTATTCGTGATCATGTTGCAAAAGGTGGTATTGTATTATAATTCATTAGCAATGATTCTCAACTTGCTAATATTTTCACTAAATCTCTTTTAGAAAAAAGATTTTGTATTCTTCAAAAAAAGATTGGCATTCTGCCAAATTTGTAAACCAGTTACTTGTTTAAGTGGTTCAATTATTTTATATATTTTTAGTATATTTTATTTCTTTAATTATTCGTGTACTAATTAATTTTACTATGGAAATGTAATTATTACTTGCAGTCATTCAGAACCATCACCTCCGTCTGTATGACCCTTCTGATAACCAAGACGCCCTTCACTTATCTTAAATCCTTGATAAAAAACCTCCCTCTTCCAATATTTTCCTCATTCTCTACAATTTTTTTGATTTCTCCATGGCCAAAATAAATCTTCCTCTACAACCACACAAAGCCGTAGGTTTCAAAAACCTCTCAATACAGAAGAAACGGTGGATGTAGAATCATCTATTGATTCAGACCTTCTCAAGATTGATAATGATAATAGTGCCTCATCTGCAAATCAACCCATTAGCCAGAAAAAAGCCAGAAAATGACCCATGGAGAAAACCCCAAAAAAGGCTGCATGTAAAACGGGTAAGGTAGAACACTTGGATTTTGGTCTGGAAGACAATTTGATCTTCTATGGCCCCAGTGAAAAGGCAAGGTTTGAGTCCTAAGTCAAAATACATGGCTTATGGACGCTGTATAAGTCTCTCTCTTATGCAAAGTCTTCATTATGATGTGACTGCAATTTTTTATTTTCAGCACATTTCCCCTGTGTTTGACACTCTTGGAAATTCTGTGTATGAAGAACCTGTGAGAATGTTTTATGTAAATATGTTTGTGAATGATAAGGATGACTTAGACTATATGGTCTTAGGTACTAGAATTGTGTTGGACTCCTACCAATTTGAAAAGATTTTTTCTGCCAAATTTAGTGGGTATGATATGTTTGTCCAAAATTCTTGGCCGAAAGACTTTGATGTGTCTCTTGAAGAAGCAAAAAATTTCTTGTCTGATAATCCCCCTGGCATTGGCCCCAAAAATCTAAAATTTGAACACCGGGTTTTGGCCCACATGATTTCCACTACTCTACTTCCCGGGTCTGGGTCCCTAAGTTCATTGTCCACTAGAGATATCTTTGATGGGTTAAAAGGGACAAGGTTGAAAAACTGCTTTCTCTATGATGAGTTACTCATTGGGTAAAAATGGATGGGTTAAAAGGGACAAGGTTGAAAGTGCTCCAGCTCCGGTAGATGTTCAAGTTGATCAACTAGTTCCTCAGTTGACTACCTCCTAGAGTCTTCCACACATTCAACAACACCTTGATGAATTCAAGCTGCTGCTGGTGGGAATGAAAGAACATGTAGATAAAATCAGAGAAGTCACTAAGGAGGCAGGTTCAGATGTAGCAAAGCTATGAATAGACATAGGGGATACAAGGAGACATGGAACCAAGGCCTTCAATTCCATGACTGAAAAAATGGACAAGCTCATCAAGGATGTTGACAACTCCTATGACTCCTTCTACACCAAAGTGATCAACACCCTCAAATACTTTCTAGGACATCATTAATTATCTCTTGCTATTTAGTATGTTCATTATATTGCTTTGTGTTTCTGTATATTGTATTACACTTTCCTTTTTGGTTGATGTCAAAGGGGGAGAAAAAAAATGAGTAAATAGTTAGGGGAGACATGAGCACAACTTTCCAAACATAGGAACAATTGAATTAAAGAGAAGCACTAGCTCAAGGGGAGCAACTATTGAAAAAGCTGAAAATGGAAGTATCTTAATTTTCTTTAAACTTGTTTACTCCTTCTTGATTGTCATCATCAAAAAGGGGGAGATTGATAGGTTTTAAGTTTAAGTTTCAATGATGATAATATTATCTTATGTAATATTTTTAGGACAAACAAAAAGGAAAGAATGATGATGATTAGCAAGATTGCTACTGGTTTCAAAATAAAGGAAGAAGGAAGAATCAGTTACTGCATTAATGATCAATTAAGAAGCAGATTAACTCGTCCTCAATCAAGGAAAGAATAAAGATTCAGTTACAATATTAATGATCAATCAAGAAGGAGATTGACTCAATTAAGGGAACTCAGATAACCAATCCTGGTCACTCCAATTTTGAAGAACACGCTTACAAATTAATCTATCCTTGAATTCAGTTATGACAAGGAAGGTCACATTCGAATCTGGGTCAGTCAAAGAGCAAGATTCAAATAGGCACCTCTTGGGTCAAATCCCTTAATTAAAGATCTTGTGCCTCCAGTTTCAAAAAGGACTCAATTCTTTCTCTTGTATAAGAAGGCTGCTCTCTCAAGAAGAAGATCACGCAACTACAAAAAATGTATTCCACATCTGTCTACTTTTTAGATCAAACACTCTAACTCTGATTTAGCAGTGTCTCAAAAGATAGAGAGATCTAGAGTACAAAAGAAAGTTGTGTTAATTGATTAGAACTCAATTGCTAATTTTATACGTTGGTGGTAAACTCAAAATCCATCAATCTTGTAACTTTATTCAAAGATCTTAAGGGAACCCTTGTGACCCAAGGAACTGGATGTTTACCGAACCAGTATAAATCATGTGTGTCTTACTATTGCTTTTTACTACTTTTACTCTTTCTGTCTCGTGGTTAGTCAACTAATACCTATATTTGTCGACTAAATTTTAACTAGGCAACAATTCAACCCCCCCTCCCTCCTTGTACTTTCATTCCTTTGGTTGATGATTGTAAGTCTGTGCAGAACAGTAACTTTATCTCAAAGTTACC